AAGCCGATGTTTTCCCATGTAAACTGTCACTCAATTCACAACTAAAAAAAAAAAAAAATTGGAGTCCTTATGTGGTGCTGTAGGCTACACACTAGGCTGCTAAGTGCAAAGTTGGTTGTTCAAACCTACCAGCCCCTCCTTGAGTCAGAACTAGGAGCTCTGGCAGTGTAATGGTTACAAGTAGGGCTGCTAACCTCAAGGTCAGCAGTTCAAAACTACCAGCCTTTCCGTAGGAGAAAGATGAAGCTTTCTGCTCCCATAAAGATTTATAGCCTCAGAAACCATACATAGGGTCGCTATGAGTTGGAACCGACTCCACGGCACACAACGATCACCAAGTCAGATTCGATGACAGTAACAAAAACGAAACAAAAATATCCCTTGAAGCCTTAAAACCAAACAATAGTTTAGTCTAATTAGTGAAAAAAAAAAAAGTCTGCCTAGAGCACTGTATTTTTTAAGAGCTATCTAGAAGAGGTCAATGTGTCAGATATAGTGCTGGAAAATGAGTCTCAAAATGAGATTGAGTCAAAAAGTAGAGTTGACAGTGATGACGCAAATGGAGCAAAACCCTTGGGACCTTCATTTGCTGATGGGGCACAACTCAAAATGAAGAGAAACAGCTGTAAAACATCCATTAATAATCAGAACATGGAATGTATAAAATATGAATCCAGGAAAATTGGGAATTGTAAAAAATGAAATAGAACGCATAAACATTGACATCTTAGGTATTAGTGAGTTGAAATGGACTAATATTGGCCATTTTGAATTGACAACCACATGGTTTACTATGCCAGGAATGAAAAATTGAAGAGGAATGGTGTTGCATTCATCATCAAAAAGAACATCTGTCATGCAGTACAATGCTGTCTGTGATAGGATAAAATCCATGTGCCTACAGGGAAGCCCAGTTAAGACCACTATTATTCAAATTTATGCACCAACCACTAAAGCCAGTGAAGATGAAATAGAAGAATTATAGCAACATGTTTAATCTGAAATTGATCAAACATGCAATCAAGATATATTGATAATCGCTGGCGATAGGAATGCAAAGGTTAGAAACAAAAAGGAAGGATCAGTAGTTGGAAAATATGACCTTGGTGACAGAAATGATGCTGGAGCTCTCATGACAGAATTCTGCAAACCAATGATTTGTTCATTTCAATAACCTTTTGTAGACAGCATAAGAAACAACTATACACATGGACCTCACCAGATAGAATACACAGAAATCAAATTAACTACATCTGTGGAAAGAGAAGGTGGAAAAGTACCATGGACTGCCAAAAGAACAAATAGAATTGTGTTGGAAGAAGTACAGCCAGAGTACTCCTTGGAAGCCAGGATAGTCAGACTTTGTCTCTCATACTTTGGACATCGTAAGGAGGGACCAGTCACTGGAGAAGGAGATCATGTTTGGTAAGGTGGAGAGTCAGAGAAAAAAGGAAGACCCCCAGTGAGATGGATTGGCAAAGTGGCAGCAACACTGGGCTCAAGCGTGGCAACAACTGTGAGGTTAGCCCAGGGGTGGGCAGTGTTTCGGTCTGTTGTGCACAGGGTCACTATTAGTCCATACCAACAACAGCACCTAACAACAACAACAACATAAGAGACTAAATCGACAATAGCAATAAGATTAGATAAGAACCTTATGTTGTTGTTAGGTGCCATTGAGTCCTTACTGACTCATAGCAACCTTAAGCAAAGCAGAACAAAAACACTGCCTGACCCTGGGCCAACCTCACTATTGTTGCCACACTTGAGCCCACTAATGCTGCCACTTGGCCAATTCATCTCACTAGGGGTCTTCCTGTTTTTCTCTGACCTTCTACCTTACCAAACATGATATCCTTCTCCAGCAACTGGTCCCTCCTGACAATATGTCCCAAGTATGAGAGACGAAGTTTGGCCATCTTGTCCTCTAAGGAGCACTCTGGCTGCACGTCTTCCAACACAGAGCTGTTGGTTCTTTTAGCAGCCCATGACATTTTCAATATTCTCCTCCAACACCATAACTCAAAGGCATCAATTCTTCTATGGTCTTCCTTATTCACTGTCCAGCTTTCACATGCATATGAGGTTATTGAAAATACCATGGCTTGAGTCAGGCACACCTTAGTCCTCAAGCTGACACTTTTGCTCTTCAACACTTTAAAGAGGTCTCATGCAATAGATTTGTCTAATGCAATTCTTCTTTAGATTTCTTGACTGCTGCTTCCACGAGTGTTGATGGTTGATCCAAGCAAAATGAAGTCTTTGACGCCTTCAATCTTTTCTTCATTTATATATGTTGTTGTTAAGTGCCATCGAGTCAATTCCGATCCTTAGCAACCCTGTATAGGGTTTCCGAGGAGCAGCTGGTGAGCTTGAACCACCAATCTTGTGGTTCAAACGGCTTTGCAGTCTGGCTCATTTACCCACAGTGCCACACCAGGACTCCAGAGAAAATAGCAGTCTACAAATGGTTACCTTATTTTAAGAAGGCTGTTACTATTGTTAGTGCCATCAATTTGGTTCTGACTCACGGTGATCCTATGCACGACAGTATGAAACACTGCCTTGTCCAGTGCAATTCTCACAACTGTCGTTAGGCTCAAGTCCACTGCTGCTGCCTCTGTGTCAATCCATCTTGTTGAGGGTTTTCCTCTTTTTCACTGACCCTCCACTTTAGGTCCTTCTCCAGGGACTGGTCCCTTCTGATAATATATTTAAAGTATGAGAAACAAGGTCCTAGCTTCTAAGGAGCATTCTGGCTGTACTTTCAACACAGATTTGTTTGTATTGTACTTTTAATATTCTTATCCAACACCATAACTCACATGTATCAATTCTTCTACGGTCTTTCTTACTTAAGAGTCCAACTTTCACGTGAAAATATTCTGGTTTGGATTTCCAGCAAGATAGAGGACTAGGCAGACATACTATCCAGACTGTCTACAACAAACATATGAGAGATCAAATGAAACAGACACAGATGAAAATCCTAGAACCCTGAAATTCAGAGGAACAGTTAGAGAACTGGACTGAGTGTATACTAGGAGGAGAAGCTGAGCAGGGACAATGAAAAAGGGAGACAGACTGGTGAATGGCCAGTCAGATGGGGTAAGATGGCTTGGCAGAGCAGAATCATACACAAGACAGGAAAGGTGTGATTCCTTCTTTTTCCCTACACTTCCTTGGTGAGCAGAGGTGTGGGAAGCCACACTCACGTATCCACAGCACAGACCCTGCTGCTCTCCAGTTTAGGATCAGGAATCTCACCAGTGTGAAGTGGGGGCCAGCTGTGTCACTTTGATACCTGCATTCAGCTGGGCTCAGCTTCAGACCTACAGAACTCATCAGACACTAACTAGTCACCCTGCCCCCAGCTGCCCTGTAGTCCTAACAGACACTGAAACCAGTTCCATCAAGGGTCTCCATGAACTCCTTCTGGACTGAGTGCCCTGAACACAGGTAAGAAGGCCAACAGGAACTTTAGCTAGAGCCAGCATCTATGTTCACCCATCCCTTCCACACTCAACTTTTGAGCTCCTTGGCTTGCAGGAGTCCCCAGAGTTTTCTCCTCTCCAGCTCCAACAGCTCCACTGCTTTTTTGTTTGGGGTTGTTTTTTCCTTTTCTTGTTCATTGTTTTTTATTTTAATCATTCTCCTCTTCCTTCTCTTTCCATTCTCTTGAATTTTTCCTATCTCTACTGTTGTCCTTGTTTTCTTCTGTTAATCACTTCTCCATTTTTTTCTCTTCTACTCTCTCTTTTCATCTCCCCTCTCCCTATTTTTCTAAGTGTGGGGTTTTTCTCCCCTTACTTCTTTTTCCTCTCTATATCATTCTTCTGTAGCTCTATTTTATGTTCCTCTTCTCTTTTTTTTAATTATTCTTGTGTTTTCTCTTTTTTTCTTCCTTTTCTTTTTATTTTCTCTCTTATAGCTTAATTTCCCTGTCCTTATGTCTTTATAGTTATGAATGTTCTTTTTTCCTGCTTTCTGCCTGTTTTTATTTCTTTTCTCCCTTTATTATTATTTCTTTGCATTGCTGGCTTCCTGTTTATTCTCTTTTGTTTTCTTATGTGTGTTCGGAGAGAAAAGGGTTTTCTCTTTCTCATCCAACAGGAAACAACAGCTTTTCCCATATAGTCCAACTACAACCATACCCTCTGCAGCTCTAACCCACTGTGCAAGAGCCAGTACCAGCACCTGTACCATCTAATAAATAACAGACAGGAGCCAACACCAGCCAAACCCAACCTAAACTGATGTGCGTGAACAGCAGCCAAGAACACTGTACACACTTTCATTCTCTAACTACACCCACTGGAGACAACTGGTGAGAGCCTAAGAACACACCACACAATCATCAATTAAATACAAACACTGCAACTTCACAATACCCCAGAGACAACAGGCAACTTTAGCTCACATGAAGAAATAAGAGAGAATGGCTCAAATAAATGTTTGCTGACCCACGGAGCTGGAGCCCAGAGTACCCTCAGACTGTGACTTATGGTGGAGTGGTGTGTCCTGTGGGCTTTTATCAGAAGCTGACTGGAAGAGCTGTGCCTTAAACACATCTGAACCTAAATTGTATGTAACCTTGTTAAACTTCCCAAATAAGCCCATACCTGTGCGTATGGTGTCTAAGTTCTGTGTGGCTACTGCAATGAATTACTGAACCAAATAGAGAAGGAGAGAGTGCTGTGGGAAGGTCAGTTTGGTGCTATCATATTTAAGCAGCGGAAGAGCCTCAACAATCCAGGGCTATAAGATGAAAGTACATGGCCGGATGCCCAGTGTGATGCAAGGGTTCATTTATGAGACTTATCATGATTATTAGCTGTGACCACGGCTAAAAGAACAAAAGTAGGTTCAGTGACACACAAACATAACCTGTATTTCAAAGTTACTTGTAACTCCCCAGCTACCCGTTCTCCCCCAGATCTCAGTAACAACAGAACAGATCTAAAGTGCTAGGGTGGCATGTGCCATGCTCAGACTGGTACCTCGTCAATAGCAGATTCCTCAATTAGCCGTGGAGCATCTGAAGATAAAAGGCCATGGGTCGCCATCACGAAGATCTTATATGCTCCTCTTTCCTTCAAGGTCTCCGCTGCAGCCAGAAAGCTGTCAACATCATCGATGATGTCATCCTGTCAAGTTACAGATTGAGCAAAAGGTAGGGGAACATTTCTGCTAACATGAGTGTAGACCACCAGGGCTAGGAATGCGTCTGACTATCATTGTGACAAGTTTGATGTGGAAAAGGATCCATTTAGCCTGGACAGGTACATATCCGCAAGTTCCTATCATTGTGCTATTTCCCGTAAATCTATGATTACTTTGAAATAAAGTTGTTTTTTAAATGCAGTTTTAATAGAAAATAAAAAAGTGCTACTGAATTCCTAACATCTTTCTGCTAATACGATACATTTTATTAGTAACGGTTAGGGTTACATTTGTTATCCTTCAGGGTGATGGAGGAGATTTTCTGACTTGAAAAAGTTTAAACACATCACCAAGTGCTGGGATGTTAGCCAACTTGTGCACCCATCTGAAAACAATTTGGCAACACCAAGAAAAGTTATACCATGTGTACACTGTCAGACTAAACAGCCCTACACCTAGGTCTCTAGAACCTCTTGCACATATGCATCAAAGAATAGGAACAAGAAGGTTCAAAGCAGTATTATTTGGGAATAGCAAAAGCCTGTGTCTAGTGCCTGCAGGAAAGGTAAATAAGCTATATGACAGTCATACTACAGAACACCAGACAGCAATAGAAAGGAACAGCTTATAATACATATCCCCTTGTACACAAATCTCAACCACAGTGTGACATAAAAAAGACAAAAAGGACATAAAGATAACATTTCTAAAACCAGAAAAAGATACCAAACAAAATGACACAGTGTTAGGGAAACGTGTGCATGGTATAAAGACAGTAAGTGCAGGAAAGAGCAACGCTCAGGCTAGTGACACCCTCAGGGAGAAAGGAGAATGCAGCCAGAGGAGACATGCCGATTCTTAAATTGGGTGGTAGGTTGCAAGGTGCTTAACATACTAAACAGACATTAAATATAGGTTTTTCATGCACTGATTTTGTGAAGTGTGAGAAGATGAGTATTTTAAACAGTTTAATAAATTGTATATCCTGCTTTTAACATGCAAAAATCTTACGTTATTACCAATAACACCAACTGCGTGATATTTTAAATTTTTTTGTGGCAAAGTAAACAACACTTAGCACAATGCACCAACTTAACTTAAGAGTTAGCTATACATATATGTCAACAGACCTATTTATAAGTAGACACATAGCCAACAACCAACAGGGCATTAATAGAAACAGTAAAAGGTAAGACGTACCACAATGATGGCGATCCTTCCTCCAACATCGCCAACAACTGTGATTGGAGGCTTTTCTTTAGGTATCAGCACTGGTCAGAATAAAACAAACACAAAGTTTCTACACTAAAAATATAAAGCAAATTCTTTAAAATGTCAATGGCACTGAAGAAAGAAAAAGTGGAAGGCGTGTTCTAGATCACCGCTTTGCAACCTTAGTACAGCTGATATTTTATGCCAGATCTTTGTTTTGGGAGGTGTCCTGCGCACTGTAGGATGGTTGTTGTTGTTTTGTTGCTAAAGTGCCATTGAGTCAATTCTGACTCATACTGTGATCCCGTTTAAGATTTCCAACAAGCGGTTAGTGGGTTTGAACCACTGATGACCTTGTGGTCCAGTGCTTATCCTACAGCGCCACACCAAGACTCGGTAGTATGCTTAGCAATGTCTTTCTCCACTAGGTATCAATAGCATCCCTGATAGCTATGACAATCAAAACTGTCTGCAGACACTACCAAATGTCCCCATTCCAAGTGAAAACTAATGTTCTAGATTCAAGGAAAATAAAGACTCATAGCAATCAAATGCAATGCATGAACCTACTAGGTGGGGTCCTAGTTGAGGCCAAATAAAAGTAAAAAAAAGCAAGATAACCAGAACTGAATTAATTTTTACATTTTTAACACTCTTGTTTCCAGGTACTCGTTCCCAATGCTGGTGGAAGAGTAGATTAGTGGCAAAGCCCTTTAGGAAATCAAGATGGCCACATACTGGTGGTAGTGGTGATTGTGTGCCACTGAGTCAATTCCAACTCACAGCGACACTGTTTAGGGTTTCTGAGGCTGTAAATCTTTACAAGAACAGGAAGTCTTGTCTTTCTTCCTGTGAGTGACTGGCAGATTCTAATTGCTGACCTTGTGGTTAGCAGCCCAGCGCATAACCCACTACACTACCAGTACAACACAATGGCCTCTCACTTCTAGAAATTTATTTTTTTTTAAATTAAACTCAAGTGCAGAAAAGACTTTTGCCCAAATACATCTGTTGCACCACTTTTGTTATATTGGCAAACGACAGGAGACAACATAAATAATCCAAGTTTATGGGATTGTTAGACTGCCAAAAAATTCTGTTGACAAAACTTTGCAATGACTTGGAGAAAATAGCTCGAGACACTAAGTATGTACCTAACAGTGACCGCAGCCCTAGAAAACAGATGAAAAGAACGGAAGGACGCCCAGCTAAGTGACAAGTGTTATGCATCATCCAGGTTTTGAATAATTATGTACTAATTCTGTTCTGAAAAGTTATTATTTTTCTTTTCAGTTGGCATTTTTTTCATGAGAAACCACAGGCTATAAAAGTTTCAAAACCTAATACTATCAAAATCTTTTCTTTAAAATGTAATCGGAATAATACTTTCTTTTCCCTTTATATACCCATTTGCTATTAAATAAGCATTATACATAGGGTGCCTCACCATTGAATATGCAAAGAAAGAGTCAATATTCAGGATCTGTGAAATTAAAACTATAGTGCATTCCAAAAAAGGTCCTCTCTAGTGATTACTACTTGAATCTTCATTGCAACCTATCCCTACACAATATGTTGTTGTTGTTGTTGTTAAGTGTTGTTAAGTTGATTCCAACCCATAATGACCATGTATAGGGTTTCCAAAGAGCTGCTGGTGAGTTTGAACCACCGACCTCACAGTTCAAAGCGACTCTGCAGTCCAGCACATTAACCCACAGCACCATACCAGACCACATAGGACTAGTCTTTTTAAACAACAACAAAAATAGGACTAGACTTCTGAAAACATCCAGTTTGCTAACTTTCTCCTACTTTAAGACTCAGACACATGGTGTTCTAAACTTAGATACTGCTATTGTTAAATACCATCAAGTCAGTTCCGATTCATAGCAGCCTTGTACAAAATTTCTGAGGGTTTGCACCACCAACCTTGCAGTAGGAGTCCCGTGCTTATCCTACAGCAGCACACCAGGCCCCAATATAATATAACCCAGGGATATATACTGGCAATTCAAAATTCTACCCAGTCTGCCCCCAGCAGAGTACTACATACCTGGAAAACAGCTAATTATTTATTATGGCCCTTCTCATCAAATTTCTCCATTTTGTGATCTATTGTAAATCCTACCTATACGACTGGTGTAGCACTGTAGGCTAAGCATTGAACTGACAAACAAAAGGCAGGTGGTTCAAACCCACCAGCTGCTCCTTGGGAACCCTTTACTGGATAGCTATGAGTCAGTACTGACACTGAACAACATCTATGCCTATGATTATGGACTCATTTTTAAATGAGATGCTAAGGAGTAAAGATTACAGTGGAACTAAAGATTAAGGATGCCTCCACCTTACTAAAAGGTATGACTCAAGTCACCACCCTTTCTTTCCACTGGGGGCATAGTCTGACTCCAACTTTCTCTGAACTACAGATTTGGGATTTGCCAGCCTCCACGGTTATAAGATCCATTTCTTTCGACAACTGTAAGTTTTGTGAGCCACTGCAGGATGTTACAGAACCCTGGGACTTGAGGGAAATAAGAAGTGGTGACTGTTATCAAGGATTATGGCGTGGAATAACATGTCAGAAGAGTTAAACAGTTGGGATATCTTTAACCTTGGATTCATAAGGACCAGAATTGTGCTGATCTTTCTAAAAGAAATCATTTACATGCAATAACTTATCTCCATATCTTCCCTCCAAGGATCTCCAAGACCATCCAGCCACACCACAGGCCATCATGCTAACAATGACCATCTCCTAACTCACTGACAAGGATAATGATGACACAAGCAGCAGCTGACTGGGGAGGTCTCCCTAGGTTCATCATTGTGTAGGCATGTCCCATGTACAAACTCTGACCCAGGGCTGGAAAGGTGAGACAACTTGCCCAAGGGCACAGAGCTGATTTGTGAAGTAGCCAGACACTGCCACTGTCTCTGCCCGTCCAGGTCGTCCTGGTACCCACTTAACCCATGCCTGGAACAAGCACCTTAAAGCCCCACCTCACCATCTAGATCCACAAGGTACTGCTGGACTCTCGGCAACTTGATGGCTACCTCAGCTACATCGCCTCTGAATTTTTCCTCTATTCATAAATGAGCAAACTCCTAGGGAAAGCAAGAACCCAAAGACAGTATTTTTTCTTAACTGAAAAGATTTTACTAAAGCTTGAAAGAAGTATATTAAGAACAAAAGTAATTCATGCAAAATTCTACTCCTCCATCATAACTATTTTCACTCTTCATATTCCCTCCTGGACCCTGCACAGACAGCTATGTCATTCTGTATCCTGCCTTATTCACACAGATTCCGTAGATTTTCTCATTTCCTCACAATTGTAATTCTTTTTAAAGGCTACGTGCATACTGTTAAAACATAATTTACTGAACTCTACCCTCAGACAAAGCACTTAGAATTTTCTAATAATTTTCATTAACAGTGAGTGAGTAACCGTGCACAGAAAGTTCTTTTGCTTATGCTCAAGTTTCCCTTAGGAATATGGATGACTGAGTGAGTGAAAGTCAAAGTACCATCACTGGGTCAGTGTAACAATGTGGACGTGTCATCACTGAACAAACTGCTGTCCATAAGGCTGTACCACTCCCAGGCCATCCATCCAGGAAAGGGATGTGAGTTTGGGTCAGTTAGAAAACCCAAGAGAAGAGGAGTTTACATATGAAAAGAAAAAACAAGTGAAGCTGCCTTAGACCCAGTAAGAAAAGCAGAGTAGATAACATGGGGCCTGAGCGGCACACTCACAGGGAATTTCCAGGCTGGGGTGGATGGCAGCAGCGTTCCTGACCATGGGCGGGGAGTGCCTCCCATCCACCAGGTCAGATTCAGCATCCTGTGCTTCCCCATGAATCACAGCAATCCCCAGGCGCAGGCGCTCCGCAAAAGACTGGGCCCTAGGGAAAACATTAGACACAAGTTCCAAATCACTCAGCACTTGTATGCTGCTAATGCTGACGCAAGACAGCAAACTTGAAAATCCAACACGGAGTCACTATGAGTGCCAATGGACTCAACAGTACACAACCACCACCACCCAGGTTCTAGAAGACACTGTACAACTAAGGAAAGCTTTGTTACAGTATTAGCAATTATTTCGAGAAACTTAAATTCATGCTTAAATCAGTCAATTTCTCAGGATCTTGCCTTTCTCAGTAGAAAGTGTGATACCTTTACTGCAGCACACATCATTAACTCCTCTGTGGCATAAGAAAACCCAACTCAAACACACATCTAATCATCTGGCCGTAACTGTAAGAAATCTAGTTTATATTTTTTAGAAAAAGAATTCTTTGTCCTTGGTTTCTGAGAGAGAACCTTTGGAATTTCCTAAGCAATTACAATGTCTTTGTTTTCTAAAACCTCCAGATAACACTTGAGGATTTATGTTCAAATTAGTGGGGGAGGGAGGTCTGGGCAGGCTAAAAAGATCACCTGGTTGGCTACACTCAGGATGTAGAGAGGGCATGACTTAATCAATCATACATATCCAATGAGGCATCAATCATGACTATACAATGAAAACAATAAAGGCTCAGCCACAGTAGCTACTAGAGCTTCCTAGTTGGTGAAAGGACATCAGTACATGAAGGAGGGTAACATGCCACTTAGGACACTATAGCTCCAGGTTGGGAACCTCCCAGACCTCATGCTATTCACCTCTTCTTTATGCTGATCCTGATCTGTAACCTTTTGCTATAACACATTTGTAGTCGTTATTACAGTACTTTTGTGAGGTATGAGTCACTCTTTGTTGTTGTTGAGTGCTGCTGAGTCAATTACAACTCATAGTGACACTACACAGGGTTTCCAAGGAGCAGCTGATGGGTTTGTAGATAAGATATGGCCATTTTTTTTCTTTTGGTAGCTGTTCATTGGTCCCTTGCTGTCTGCGCACCTCCATTCTGGTGACTATAGGGTGCCTGAGCACTGGAAACAATTCAAAACCTACAGAAAGAGGTCCAAATGATTAATAATAGAATATCAGAAATGGACAATACACTGAAAGGGCAGAGGAGTAGAATTGAAGAGATAGAAGCCAGAACTAGTGAGCTAGAAGACAAATCTCTCAACACTACTAAGATAGAAGAACAAA